CTGAGGTTGCCTGCTGACAATCTACCATGCTGAATCTTTACTCCCCTCCCTTGTAACACATCATGACACCTACCATGTAAGCATTCCTATTCACTGAAACAAAGACACTGAAACATGACTAGAACTTGGGAGACTGACTTAACCATTCTCAGTTAAACATGGCCTCTGCCAGAAATACAACATATTAGCAAAGTGATTACTAGAAGTTTACATTCTGATTTTCCTGGATAAACAAAATTATTCAGTTCCCAGGACTGCAAACATTTAAATTATTCCCCTACTGAAAGTCAATGTTTACATTTCCTAAAATATTAGCGCATATTAGCTTCCTGCATGCAATTTTCTCACCCTGAGATCTTGATAGCGTACAAGAATATAAAATCAATTTTTTAATACTGCTTATAGAAGAAGAGTTTCATACTGCTAGAACTTTAAGCAGGATTGCTTCAGATAGGTATTTTTGCTTTCTTTGACTGACAGACTCACATTCATTAGCTGCTTCTTCCCACTTTTGTACCCCATTATTCCAGTTTAACAGTGAAATATCTCAATGGATGTTTTCTCAAGTGACTGAAGTTAGCACTTACCTGCTGGATACCGTATGTCCAGCCCTGCCTTATACGGTCCCTTGCCCACACATTGTGAGCATTCTCTGCTAGTTTATCCACCATAGCTTCTTGAGAGGGGGTCAGTTTGATAAAACTCAAATCCATGGGAGCAGGCTTATATCCACTCAACAACTGGTAGCTGTCAAAAAACACAGAACTTGTAATTACTTTTCAGTAAGACAAAATTAATATAAAAACTGCAAAGGAAAGAACTCATATGTATGTAAAATATAAATAATATGTCTTTGAATATAAGGAGTAATAACGTGCTGACATTTAATTTTGCTTCAAGCTAATTGTGTCTTAATGGAATGATGTAGCTGGTAATGAAAGCTACCCAGAATGGTCTCAACTAAAAATGTTTTGGAAGTATATTAGTCCTTTCACACATTTGAAGTAGTAGGTTAAGGTATTGCTTATCTGAATACTTATGCGAACATTGTTACTGCTACCTCTGAGCACTTCACAATACTTATCTGAAGCAACCAAATATATTCCTCCTATTACATACAGGGATGTGAGAGAGAGCAGCTCAATTAGCTTAAGTTCACGTATGAAGTTCATCTAAAAAAACTTTGTCTTTTTAATACTTCATACCTTAAGTATCCTTCAAACTATATAGGAGCAAATGTTTAAAATTCAAGCATGACTTAAGAAGAGAGAGAGGGCTTCCTCACTATTTTAGCAGTCCTAAGAACAACGTCTTGTTTACTTCTATGAAGTTGTCCCCACCGAATTAATTATAGTCATCTCCCATCTTACTTATGATCAAACCTTCAGTAAAAGACATAATGCGTAAGGCGATGGATGCAGCCCATCCAGACTTATAAATTTACAACGAAGACATGTGGCACTACGTGGCATGGCCACAGTAGTGGACTTCACCTCCCTTACCCTAGCTGATGAGGGTACGTATAGGGGAAGAGGAGCAGGAAGAGAAAAGCTGGGGGCAGACAGACAGGGGCTGGTCTGGGTGTCAGTAGCTGAGCACTGGCGGGGGAGTTGCAGGGCAGCCCCGGTGAGGAGAGGCCGGGGCTGCCCCGTGCTGGGCAGAGCGGCGTCAGGCTGCCTCCAGAAAGGCCCCTCAGCTTTCACTGGTGGCCCCTCAGCTTTGGCTGGTGGCACCTCTGAGAAAACATTTTTAAGAAAGGGCAAAACACTGCACAGGCAGCAAGGAGTGAAGAAGAGAAGTGTGAAAATCAGCCTGGCCAAGAGCAAGGCAGAAGGTTGGCAGAGACACTCCAGGCACCAGAGCTGGTGCTGCCCTGCAACCTCAGGAGAGACCAGGCAGGGGCTGGTGGACATGCCCTGAATCGCCCTGAGTATCCTCTAGCACACTGACAAAACAAAGCGCTCTTTCGGTCATAAGGGAAGGGGTCTGTGGAAAATAAAAAACAACATTTTCTCACTGAAATTATGCTCCTGGGGTGTTTAAAGAATGGCTAGTTTGAATAATTGTCTAATTATTTTCTAAACAACTCTGTCATTTTCTTGTATTTTCTTTATTTGGAATGACAGAGAGAAAACCAGAAAAAGAAACAGTATTTATCCTCATTTGCATTCTAAAATATTCAAATACTTTACAAATCTTAATTAATTCTCTTCTGAGATAACTATTCCAAAATCCAGCTAAACAAACTATTGGATGAAAACAATAATTGAAAACAAGCAAGTATTTTGGGGAGATTATCATCTACAAACATGAGGTTGGACCTTCCTTCGAAATTACCCCACTAAAAAAATAAAAAGTTGAAGTCTGAAAACATCAATTCAAGAGCAGTCCAAAATCAACCATTCATGTAATTACCAACTGGCAAATTTCTGTTAAAGAATTAAGCAAGCAGGTGGTGGTTGCCCTGCTGTCTCCCACGTGCCAACTAACTGCCCTCACGGTTCCCTCTCCTCAGGTAGCTGTGAAGTCGCTTCAGTGAGATAAGTAAAATCAGACAGCAATGGAAACAGTCAATCATACAGAAGGGATGCTTGTAATTTTGTCACAGAGAACACGTATACCTTATTTCAGGATGCAAATGAATACTCAAGAATAAGAATCAATGGATATTAAGGAAAATAACAAAAGCATGTTGAGTGTGCAAATTCATGTTGGAGAATTACCTTTATCTGAAGACGAATGTTACTAGCTGAAATAGGTATCTAAAATCTCAGCTCCTGGTCAGTCATCTACTCATCAGTATCTGACTGATTTTACCCTGCTCAGTATCTCTGCTTCCCTTATATAAACTTTTTATTTTTTTTTAAAGAAGTAGGTAAATTTAGCTGATTCAACAGTACTACCATATTGATCTGCCATTGATTCATAACAAGTATTATGGTTTTTTTATTTGTGCCAACACCTAAAGAAAGAGTGGCAGATATGTTTGCAAGTGATATTAGTCCATACTCTGTTCTCTTGATCAAAGATTTTCAGCAGTCTATGTGAGTTGTTTTACAAGAGAAAATTAAACAGAGTTGATTTTTAAAAAAAAATAATTCTTTTCATTCTGACTTTTTTTTCTTTCCCATTTCATTTAGATTTTCTTTAACCCACAGAAACACTAAATATTTAGAATTTATTACAATAAAAGCTTTTAATATATCAAGGAAGCATTTTAAAATGTCAGGTTACTGAAGGATGCCTTATTCAAAAAAACTTAAAGTAATACCAGGAAAAAATCTTCCTAAGAGGAAGAGAATGTCCATCAGCAAAAGTTGTGTTTGCAACATGCTTTAGCTACTTGTTCAATATGGTCCAAAACAGCTCTTTTGTGGAGTGATGCTGGATTAGAAAAGGCAAATTTCTGGCGTAACTGCTAATTTAAAATGTGATTTTCCCTAACTTCTAACTAGTGTGGCTGTGATGCCTAAAATTTTCTAGGACTGACACAAAGATAAATTTGTTTTTAGCATTTTACAGTGTTCATTGTTAAAACAGGATGGAAGAAAAGAACCAGAAATGAAAAAAGTAAAGATTTAAGAAGACAGACAAGAACAGATATAGTAAGGTTGAAAGTTTTCTTAGAAAGTAGAGCAGATGAGCTAATTACAGTCAAGTGATGACTGTTGCTTTTGTTTTCCATAACAGCATGAAGTTTTTCTGTGAGGCAGATACGAGAACTTAATAAATTATCATGGGAAAGTGTTGGGATAACGCATTTGTATCATCTACAGGAACAGAATTATCTAGCAAATACAGGACGTGACATCTCTTCTCCCATCAAAAATTCATCTTTTCACCCACCACCTCCTGTAATCTTTTGTCATGGTGAATTCTAGTCTAACTGTGAAACAGTAACCTTTCTCTGCAGGACTGTATCCCAGAAAAATGTGATCCAGCCTTATAGATGCACAACTGTATCTAGATCATGAAATCTCTGCTCTATTTTTGGTCACCAAATATGTGATGCTACTGACAATGTAGCCATTTTTTTAATTATTTCATTTTTACTCATTTTTTCTATCCATTGCATGTAAGGTATCACAATTCTGACTTGATATATACAGTAAGACCTCAGGGTTCTAAAGTTATGACTGTTAAAGACATTAAAAAGACTCAGCATTACAAGTCTTCTTAAATTAGGAAGTATAATTTCTTCAGACTTGAGATTGAACTGTGATTTTTCAAAATCATCACAATTAATTCACTTGAACAATCTTGCAAATGCATATATATTTCTACTCAGGAAATTAAGAACAAAAATATATAAAGCCCTAAATATCTCTTCATTTTAGTCTTATATGCAATTATTTTGGGATACCAAAACTGAAGAACAGTTTTGGGGAATTTAAACTAATCCCTTGCTTTTATTCTCATTCATTCCCATGAAGTGGCCACACCAGGGATTCTGAAAATGTCATATCAATGCTATGTAAATCAGTACAGTGGTATATATCAAAGACTTGAGGATCCAGGATCTTATAGGTACCTTGTAGTGAAGTATTACCCAGAAGCCTGCATGGAGAATGTACTTTTGGCTCACAAAAGGGAAAACACAGGCATGCTTTAGTTAGACGTGAGCTTGAGGTTATTACACCGACCTTAGGGATGCAGTGGGCGGAATATTAAGCTATGGGTCAGTGAAAGGTTACTGTGAATAATGGAGTTATGCAGCAGCAGATGAATATTTATTTCTGCACAGAGCACATCCCTGCAAAGAGCTGCGAGTTGCTACTGGTGGCAGCAACTTAGCAACCAGCACTTACCACTGCTCTTAGTCATAAGCAAGGAAACTGTGTTACTAATTTAAATTCAGGAATAACAGGACACACAGAAATATTTTCATACTGAAACTGTGACCTTTACCTTTCTCGTTTGATACACATTATAATTCTCCTTTATTCCATGGGCTCAAGTGTACGCTGGGCAGTAGGGCTGTCAGTAAGTACAGTTTCATTATGTTGGACTGTGTTAAACTTCCCAAATTCTTCATTCACAAATTGGGGAGTGCACTGGTGCTACGGAGGAGGCCAGGGCATACTGGCTGGGCCACAAGAGCTGATTTCAGAGCTGTGGTAGTGAAGGCCACTATATGATACCAGCCTGAGCCCAGCTGCCAATTAATCACTCAGGAAAAAAAGTCAGATGTTTGTACAAGTTCTCTCCACTTCATGTCACTAGGTGGCCATTCTAAGACTTTCAGAATGGCTACCATTAATTATCTGCAGCACAGCAAAATGTATTGACAAGTTTGCTGTAAAATTCTTTATCAAGTTTCTGCAATATATATAAAAGAACTAAGTAACAATGAATTTCCCTCATTTCAGTGAATCACAGAAAACCTGAGCTTTGTCTACACATCAGATCATAAATATCTAAAAGAAAAGGTGTAGGTGAAGTTGCGTGTGAATTTCTTAAAAATTATATGCATACATACATATTCAAGTACAAATAAAACTAGCAATATTAATATAAATTTGTTAAAATACAGCCTGTTTAACTCATATTGCCTAGCAAAAACACACATTTGAATTTTAACTTACTTCTTCGGAAGTTTCATTTTTTTCACTTTTTCTTCGGCATGGTCATCAGCAATTCCAACATGGCAGCCTAAAGCCAGCAGGGTTCTAGAACACAGAAATCAGAGCTAAATTAATGCCAGTGTTTTTATATTCAGAGTTGCTGCTGTTTATATAAATGGCACTATATAACAAACGAGACCCATGGGAATGACAATAATACAATATGGAACGATCAACACCAGCCTTTTTGTATATGTAGTGTTAAGAAAATGCCACAAGATATTTCTATAAGTTTTAAGAGATGTACAAGTGAACTACTTCAAAATGGAACTACCATACAGTCTATTTCATCTACATAAGGCATCAGCTGAAGAATTCCCTGCCCTTGAAATACATATTTCTGCTTTATATACTTCCTCGTACTGCTTATATACTGAGTCATGGTGCTTTATATCAAAACCTTTTAATGTTATTTACTTTAAAGCTGATGAAAGGAGAAAAGGCAGGAAATGTCACTTCTTATGCTTACAGTAAGTCTTCTTTACAAAGAGAACCTGTTATTCAGAGATTTTAATTGGATCTGGATTTTGTTAGGACATGCTGCTGAGGAGAGGACTGACAGCAAAACACAGGATAAGCATTAGGTCAAAACTGCTATGTTAATGCTCCATAGGGATGTTGTATGTTAATCCACTTCAGAGAAAAGGATTCAAGCTAGACCCAGTGTGTCGTGTACCACAGAGACAGATTGCACAAGATGCAGCTCATTTCAGAAAACAAACACTCTACATAACCTTACAACAGGGTCGACGATATTAATCAAGTTTCTGATGACTTCATACCTCTTCCTTTCCTTACAGTCACACTATCCAGCAGCATAAATCTTAAGTTTCCTTTATCTTCAGGATTTGATCTGCAACTCATCAATTATTTGTTGCTGCACTTATGTTCAATACTGGGTTATCAAGTCTCGGGGTTTTTTAGCCTAGGTGAATTACTAAAATATTGACATTGAATTGAAAAGAAATCCTGACAAAAATCAGAGATCAGGAGAGTCTCAAAATCTGAGTGACAGTCATATCTTTGATTGAATCCGATTATGTGGAAGAAATCACAAGCGTAAACCTGGGACTCCATTCCCAATTTTCCCAATGTGGAAGAAAGCTGGAAAACAAAGTTTTTACTTTTTCTTGTCACTAGTTTAAATAGTATTTTCTAGACTGGCTTTAACTATATTTATTGCTCTTGGATTGACTGGAGGGAAAAGAGAATAAATATTGGTCTAGTAATATTTCTCCCGGCAGATGAATCTTATGTTTCAAAAGGATTCTTACAGCTTATTTTTAGTGCTAGCTACATGAAGTAAATCCTACTGTTCTGTTCTGTGAACCCTAACTTTAAACTAGATGGTAAAATCCAATGAGAAAATCAACATGCAGTGGCCACCTCCTGCAATACACAGTACCCACTAAAAATATCCCATGCAACGAGATTTCAATTCACATAAATCACACACAACTCCTTGTCCTTTTTTTACTAAAAACCTCAGTTCTGTTCAGTGATTTTTACTTTCCAGTTTAGTATCTTCTAAGAGGCTGCACATTCTGAAGTTGGCAACATGTTTTTATGCAGACAGTGTGTGTTACTGGCAGTGATAACACCAGGCAGTTACTGCCTGGGACTAGGATGCAGACAGGCTCTTGCTGATACTTATTCCCATAGTGACCAAGGCCACTGCTGGCTCTTGTGTGCCACGCTGGGGGTGCCAGGTAGTAAGAGGGGTCACAAGGAAGTAAAAGGTTGCACCTCTAGGAGATAATAGACAGGTGACCAACAAGACTGTTCCATTCCATATATATATCATATTTAGTATCAATTGAATGATCACAAGAGTTTCTGCCCCTTTTTCTGCAATGGCCATGTCTAGGGAGGAATCTCTCTGATCTCCTGGTTTTGATCCAGATCCTGAGTTCCCGAATCCAGCTCCTGTATCCAGCTCCCGCTGCCGCTCAGCCTGGGGCTTCCCCAGTGCCGCTTGCTCTACAGTATCAGTGGGGAGACTGCTAATGACATTCCTATGCAGCCGTCCCCAGCACATGAGAACGTATCTAACACTGAATACAGAGGTGCTAATCCCTGGTCATCCTAATTTTCTTGTAATGTAAAATAGGAATTTAAATCCTACATTATCTCCACCTAGACACAGCAAATTCAAATCAGAGCCACAGAATAATGAAAAGTCATACCACGCTGGTAGAACCTTGAAGGCCCCTAAAGCACTTCGAAGCAAAATAAGAAATTTAGAAGTGGCTGAATGCAGTCCTTGTTATAATACTGATATATGATTACCACAAATGACTGAGTAAATAGGTAGAAAGACAAAAGTCAGTCACAAAATAGTAAGTAACACCACCAATAAAAAAAAATAGAAAAAACAGGAACAGCACGATGAAACTATAAAATATATATAAGAATGTGCAGAAGCAATATGAACAAGCATATTTTAATCCCATGACATTTTCAGAGGTAACTCATTCCTAAATCTTGACATTTCATACAGTATATCACTTTTTATAGTTCATAAAAGTATTCAATCATACTGAAAAATATACAGAGATGCCAATATATTGAAAATAAATGCTGTTTCAGATAATATGACTCAGAACTTCCTTAGTTGCCGCCTCTCTCATCTAGTAGAGCTGGCAGCAAAACTGGCAACAAACCAACAAAAAAAACCCAACAGTTACAGTTTGAGTTATTCTTGATGTCTTACAACTACTTAAAGTATGCAGTATGATGCGAATTGGGAAGAATAAAGCTGACTCGAGGAAGTTTAAAAAGAACATTTTCTTTCCCTCCACCCCATTCTCCACAAATGAAGGTGGCTGCTAGTGCTAGACTAGAAACACCTACTATAGAAAACAGTCAAGGTAGGTTACAATTCAAGTCATCACAGTATCAATCATTCAGAATGGATAAATGCACTACTTTTTCCACCTTTGCAAGCTTGCAGAAATGAACCAAGTGAGACACTCATATTCTAGTTTCTGAACAACAGGTGTCTGTCCGATAAATACAACAAGATATTGCAAAATGACAACTGTATACGTCAGAAAACAAAAGCTGGTGGATCAGTAAATAGCACAGAGAGGCTCATCAGAGAAGAATGCCATGAGAAATTCTAGGAGGAGTGTTCTACCTAGCTTTCTACTATGAGGACATAAAGTCCATATATTAAAAGTGTAAACATGATATTGCACTCCCAGTTTACATAGCAATTTTTAAAATATTCCCAGAAAAGTACTATCACATGCAGATAATCATCCTTTGTTAACACTCTGAACAGGAAAAATCAACTATATTTTACCATAAAAAATGAAAAATAAAAGAAATTATTTCAATGGATTGCAAATACGAATAGCTGGGGAACAATATATATCACTGGGCATTTATCAGTTTGGGAAAAATTTTAACATGTTGACTACATGCAATGCTACACATGGAAGAAATTACTTCCACTAATAGATTTTTAATGCATTTGCAGTAAAGCAAGAACTCACAGCTGCTTGATTGATAAAGCTGAGATGAGGAATTTTATCTTTGAGACAGGTAACTAGATTACTTGAACAAACCTATTAACATCCCACTGAAATTTTCCAGCAATCCAACTGGAAACCTTCCACAACATTCACACATCTAACCACTCATCCACCAAAGGAGGGAGTCCCTACTACTGTTTTGTGCTAATGTGTCCATAACACACAGATATAGCAGCAAGGGATCCTGAAGCAATGATCATCATTAATAACATCCAAAAATATCCATTGATTGTCAAAGTGTGTTTTATCAATAAAGAAAATTACAAGCAATTAAACTAAATTGCAATAAATCGAATAAGAAGCAAAGATTATTTTTCCTCAAGCTTAGATCTGTTTATTTCCTCCAAACTAGATGAAAACCGTCTGAGTTGCCATTGCATAATCAGCATTACCACAATAATTCTAAAATTCCATAGATAATAAAATCCATCATATTCATTTTCAATGCCAAATAATTAATTCATCAGTGTTTCTCACACCCTCTCTCACCTATAAGTCGTGTCATGGTAATTCACATTCAAATTACAATTCTGGAAACTGCAACTCCTTAGGAAAATCTCACTATAAGTTTCAAAAGTTCTAGCAACTTACTTCAGTGTTTCAAGTGACATTTGCAAGTTATAGTTTCTTTCCTGTTCTGGCAATTTTGAGAACTCCACTAAGCACGGGTGTTGTCTTTTGTTGTCATCTCTAATCTGAAAAGACAGTAAAGAAATTTCAATATGCCTTTAAAAGCCAGAATAAACTTTAAAAGAGTCTCACCCACAAAGTACTTAAAGCTGATCTTGTCAGATTACTCAAACGGAACAACACTTCAAAAGAGAAAGCATTCTGTATTCTTAAAGCATGATCATTCTGTTCAAGTAAAGCTGAGTTTGCATTTCCAAATAAACTTGAGATTTTAGATCTCAAGTGGAATAAATGCTAATTTGTACATTATACAGATGTTCACAACACATATGCAAAGTTAAAGAATAGTGCAATCTATGTTATGTTTTGACATACAGCTCCAAAAAAAGAAACAGAGTGAATATGAACATGAATCACTGATATCTGAAATTTATTTTTTATCTTTTATATTTGCTAGTTCTGTGTTTTTCTATAACAACTAAATGGTATACTACTACTCAATCTTGTTTACTTAACCCCATTTTAAAAATGTCGCATTTCTTTATAACACTTCTGAGTAATATATTTTTGCATTTTGATCTAAGCACATAATGATTATAAAATTGAACTGCAGTCATTTTTATATGCTTTGGATTGAAAGATATTTACAATCTCCCCAGGATATTTATCTTAATTTGATGGGATTAATGTTCTTTGGACAGGCAATACAAGGAATTCACCTGTCAAGCTACTTGATCAAAATAATTAGTAGCTAAAATGAGAAACATCTTTTAACAGCCATTGAAAACTTTTATTTCCGGATTTCTAGAGAACTATGGTAATCTGCATTTATAAAGCTTCAGTACAGTCTCCAATAAGAAGGACTGCTTTAGATCTCTTTACACAACTAATTTAAATCTCAGGCATCAAGTGTTTTCCTCGGTTCCTATGTTAATTGAATTTTTCCTAGTGACATCCTTTTCACTCTTACTTTAGTGGCTTACTTCATCAGGAACTAAGCTTCTTCCTGAAGAATAAACAGAAGGCGAAAAATCTACTACGTGCTTTCTGTGCTGATAGTTTGACTGGCTGAAAATTTCAGCACCAAACATCTTTTATTCCAGAATTTTGGTTCAAAAATACAAAAGTACTGTTGATTTCCACCTCCTTCTGGTGGAACGCATCTAAAACCTTACTGATTTTGGAAGGATACAACAAAAATGAAGACCGATTAGCACATTAAAATCAATGTGCTGGAGAATGCTATGTTGCTGGAGAATGCTATGTAATGAACAAAAAATTAAGTTGGAAGGTACATACTGGTCCATACTGCCAGCCAAGTTCAATCTTATTCATAACCCAAAGTTCATGGATGTTCTCTGCTAATTTTTCTCTAATTCTTTCCAGATGGGGAGGCAAAACAATCTAAAGAGAGAAGAAAGAGGCTGTTACAAGTAAGTTGCTTAGCAGTGCCACTCAAACTTTCATAACAGGCAAACTTTGTAAAAATCAGATACCTCAACTAAACGTAAATTTTCATTCAGTTCTTTCTGACTAAAGTGAGAAAGAATTCTTAGATCAACAGAAATACTTTAACCTATGCACTTACAAGTTCCAGAGTGTGACCAGCATCAGAAAACAGTTTTAAATCCAATACCTTCAAATGGCATGGAACACATTCCTGGCAGTGGGATAGAAACTACTCATACCAATACTATTTCTCAGCTTAAAAAAAAAAAAAATGCTAAAAATCTCAACAACTAAGGTAATATTATGAAAAACACTTCAAGCAAATATTAACATCTGAGAACTGAACCCCATAGAATAAATAAATAAAATAGATGATTAGGACAAGTGAATTCAGGACAGCGCATCACTCTTCCTCCAAAATTTGAAACTAAGTCACCATTACCTCAAAAAACAGAGACCTCCAATTTACAATGCTGTGGATCATGATAATATTTCCCTAATAGTTGGTGTTACAGAACAATAATTATATGACACATGTAGGATGCTATATTTAGCATATAATGGCAACAAACTAGCAAGGTATTTGGTATGTGTTTTCAAGAATGTGTTCCTAACTATTGTAAAATCTGAGCACACGGTGTACAAATATTTGCATAATCTCAAGTTCTGGTCAAGTGTAAAAAGAACTCTTGTTATCTGTGATCAGAGAAGGAGCTCTTTGGTATCAAATAATTACTGCTCTTTGCAACCACGCAAAAAATAAAACAAAACAAAAAATCCCCTATAACTTCAATGCATGCCATTTACTGCCCATAATGTGTCAAATGACACTCTCAATAACCTCCAAGTTCAGTAAAGAATCAGTGCTGAAGCTCTACAAGTCTTGCCATAATGCAAAGTCTTAAGTAATTGCAATTATACAGTAATAAAAACGTATAGTAAAAGAACAAGAAGTTCAAACATCCTGTCTTGCCTACTCTAATATTAAAGGTAAAACAAACTTTATGATAGTGTCTTTGAACTGAAATATATGAAATTTCTAGTGAGCACCAATAAGGACTTTATGGACTATTTATCAGGTTCTCACAATGGAACATACCAACCAAATCCAAAGAAAAATCAAGTTTGAGACTCTGATCAAATGCAAAATTACATAGGCCTACAATATGTGTGTTTAAAAAGGAAAATGCAGTATTTCAGCTTCCATACCTGGCTAGTATCTACAGGAACTGGAGTGAAAGCTGCTTGTGACAGAGAGATAGTGGGACCCAGTAGGTCTCTTGTATAGCTCCGATCTTGCTTGTACTCTCGGCTGTGCTCCACTTTCAGCTTCTCTTTCGGTAGGACAGCTTCAAAGCAAGGGGCATATCCAGGTGGAGGAAGAAACTTGAACTCTCCATGGCGACCTCCAAGCAAGAAACGTACCCTGTAAACATCAGAGTTACGTTAGGTAACTGAGACACCTCTGATGTCAAACCAAGAAAGCTTGTAAGCCTAACAACTATTGGATGCTATGTATAAAAAAAGGAAAACAATAAAAATTCCATGTTGCAGCTTCTTTTCATTGTTTACAGTTCAACTTTCTCTACTTGGTGCTGGAGTTCATGAAGTAGGTGGAACAAAAATCATGGGTAAAAGCTAACTATTGTTTCTTTTAGTTAATATCCACTTCCATACAGATATTCTAAATCATGATACCAAAAGAGAAGACACAGAGAGAAAGAATAATCAGTTTACTTAGCACATCTATGAAGTAAGCAGCAGTCTTTTGGGTCTCAGAAGGCAGAGATTATCATCCAGAATAGTCAATCAATCACTTCTGAACTCTCTCCATGAAGGAGTTGTCCATTCTCTCTCATTTTAGAAGTGAATCTGAAAACTCCATGGAATATTTTTCTTTCACAGAATACTAAATCTTTCAGGCACAATACAAAACAATCTTATATTTTCTTCTCTAAAACTTATACTTGTCATGTTAGTAGAAATCTAGGGGAAAACATTCTTTTATTCATTACGAAACAGCAAATTTGACATTTTTTTTTTGTTAATGAAAAATTCAGTGAATGGGGTGATCATGAAGTACCAATGACATAACACTGAAAAATCTTCCCAGAACACTGCTATCCAGCAGGAATTTAACACACTCAGAAAATTAGCCTTACAACAGAATCATTTTGTCTTGTTTGTATTTACTGAGTATTTTATAAAATTTTTGTCAATGTTATACCAGAACACTCTCCAAAACCACACTCAGCACATGAATAATACTGTCAAATATTTTTCTCACGACAGAGATAAAGCACACAGGTTTATAGTTTTGCACTTCATAGCACGCATGTCTATAGTTTTACCACATTGTATCTCTCATATTATCCAAGGCAAAGCCTAAGGAAGTGCATTTGGCAGCTGGAGCAAGAGGCTGGTATATCCACTGTGTGATAGCTTCTCGCTCTTGTATTATTCACCAGTCTTTGAATGTGTCTCTAGCAAAAATCAACTTCCAGTCTTTATCTTTGTCAGTCCTGCTAAAATTAGTCTCCCTACTAGAACATCACAGACTGTTTTTTAGTATTATAACGTCAAACTATTCAACACCTGGAAGCAGAAGTCTGACCTATCAAGTGTGACTTGAAATTTTATAGAAAACCAATACAGCAACCAGAATACAGATTGACTCAATTCATATTAA